ATGTTTCTGAGAGTTTTTTTCTATCACCGTTCCTTTGAACCTCATCAGAATCCGGTACCTCTGCTGCAGGGGGCAGTTTTCTGACTTCCTTATATTTCTCTTGCACTAGAGATGGACTCTCACAGCTTCCTCTTCCTGAATCGTAGTCTATTTCCTGGTGTGCTGGCTTTACATGTTTATTGGGGTGAGTTTTTCCATGGTTTGGCACTAGCTGCTGATCTTCGCTGTCATCTATCTCCAAAAATTCTATGAGCAGATCATCAGAGTCTAAAGTTGGAGGAAAACCCTGACAATCAAGAGCACTCAGCAATTCTTCAGTTTTTCCTGCCTGGAGAAAGATGAAATGCACCCTGGATTACTATAAAAATGATATATTGCATAAAAATGAGCTGAACACATTTGGGCCTACAGCAGAGGAGATAACAGATCTTAAAGCGGGTTACATTTTATGAAGCAGAAAAGTGAACATGATTGTTGAGCTATGATAAGGACTCCAATTCAAAAAGTTTCTGGAGATAGGTTAAAGCTGTATTTAATTTTATGTAAAAAAAAATTATATATAACAACTGCTATATGGGAAGTGCTCCAGCAGCTGCATCTGAAATTTTGGAGGGCCCTGAAGCTATAGCTTTGCATCCCTCATATATAAAAAGGCAGTAAACTGGCATAGAATATCAAATAAACACCAACAAATCTGTTTTATGAGTGTTATGAGGATCAGAATGAGGAAATAATTTATTTGAAAGAGATGTTCAGGACATGTGAGCACATGTGAAGTATTAAACTGTTAAAGCAGCTGCATCTTTTTCTAAATTTGTGGGAAGCTTCAGAAGTTGCTTCTAACTGTTTCCACAAGCAATTGCCTGCATAGCTGCTTTGTTTCCCTGGGGAAAGTAGCTAACTTTTCATTTTAAAAGATGCTTGGTACACACTCCTGCACCTTCCAAGGCACCACTTTTCAAACATTTGTATAGTCCTATAACGCATCTTATACGTTCGTCTCTTGAAAATATACAGTGACTCAATATTGCAGTTACCAAGGAGACAAACTATTGCATTGTGACAAATATCTTTATCCAATATTGTATCAAAAATGAGATGTGGTAGGCGGAATTTAGACTGCAAGGACCAGATAAAGCTCCCTATTCTCATTCCATGTTCCCAATCCAGAATAGAACTTCTGTACCAGTTCTTCTTCAAAGAAAATCCCACTCAAAGGAAATGTGTGTGTACTGTATATATCAAAATAGAGATCTTGTTTGTTTTTAGTTCAGGCAAATTAGCAATTTACTTATTTATTAAATTTTTATATCACCCATCTTACTGTCAGGTGACTCTGGGTGGCTTACCGTATCATAAAAGCCAAACTACAAAGGTTTAAATATTAAATATTAGCAAAAATTAGATAAGAACCAGAATACAAAGGGGGTAGAAATGGGGTCTTTTCTTAATCCAATAACAGTCTCCAGAATGGAAAGCCCCTTTTGGGACCCCAGGCCAATTGGCAAAGCCAGGTTTTGAAAGCCTTTGTAAATGGGGACTGATCTCAGTTTAAGGGGCATGATGTTCCAGAGGGAGGGAGCCACAGCAGACAAGGGTCTTCTCCTGGACCCTGCTAGCTGGAATTCCTTGGCTGTCGGGGCCCACAGCATGCCCCTTATGCCAGAGCGAGTGGGGCAGGCCAATCCCACTGGGGTGAGATGGTTCCTCAGTAACTTGGTCCCAAGAGCATTGAAGTAATAAACCACACCTTGAACTGGACCCAGAAGCAGACAGGCAACCATTACAGCTTGCACAATAGAGGTGTTACATGGGCTACTCTAGGGTCCCCAAGAACAGTCTGCGCAGATGCATTCTATGTCAGCTGTAACTTCCACATACTTTTCAAGGGTAGACCCATGTAGCATGCATTGCAGTAGTCCAAATGCGAGATAATCAAGCTATGAGTGATGAGCATAGGAACTCACAATCCAGGAAAGGATACAGCTGGGCAACATCATGAAGTTGTGCAAAGGTTCTCCTAGTGGAGAAGTTATCAAGAGCCATGGTGGTGCAGTGGTTAGAATGCAGTACTGCAGGCTAACTCACTGCTCACTGCCAGGAGTTCGATCCTGACCAGCTCAAGGTTGACTCAGCCTTCCATCCTTCCGAGGTCGGTAAAATGAGGACCCAGATTGTTGGGGGCTATATGCTGACTCTAAATCACTTAGAGAGGGCTGTAAAGCACTGTTGAAGTGGTATATAAGTCTAAATGCTATTGCTATCATAATAATAACAGCAGAAAAGTTATCCATTTGGAAGGCAAAATGTTTCTTGCTTGATGTTCTTTTTGGTCAAAGAACATGTGACCAAACTATAGCAAACATAGACAAGGCATGACCAAAGAAAGGATTTTCACATTCTGCTGGTGAAGATCCAAACTCTCCTTTAACAGCTCACCTGTAACAGTTGAGCATCCAAGCCTTTTATTTTTGGACCTGGAATTGGTGGTAGAAGGCGAGCTATCATCCTGAAATGCAAAAGGAAGACAGAAAAAAACAACAACTCTCTTTCACACATCTTAAAGTTACCAAAGTTGAGAAATCCTCCTCTAGACTTTCTGAAATAAGAAGTTTCAGAAGGGATAAATATCTTCCCTCAAGATATTGGGCTATTGGACTCAAATAATAGTTTGATGAAAATACTAAATGATTAAAAACTCCAGATTATCATTCAGTGGCAGTATAGGTATAAGCTGCCCGTGGAAGATCATCTTTATATAAAATGATCTCTGGCACCAAAATGATTAAAATTTCCTCTGCCTCCTGCTCTTCAAGTAACTGATTATTTCCTGTTAAATATGAACTATGGCAAAGAAGTCAGAACTGGAATTGGAGTGGACAGAGAGAAATTTCAAAGCTTTCTCTCCAGGTTACTGGTCTGTTAATAATCACATCAATTTTGTGCCAAGTGGGAAGTCTATATTGTGTCTTTCCATTCCTGCTGTTTAAATGTAAAAAAATGAGGTAGCATGGATGTATTTAAGCCATTCTTAAAGTCACATATCAGAGTTAACGTGCAAGATTTTGATGCACAAACCTGACAGTGAGTTTGTGTTTTGGGACAAAGGAATTCTCTACAAAACATTAAGTCATACTTTGTTTAGCCATGAATTACTGAATAAACACAATTAATTGGATTTACACAACATGCTAAGTTAAAAACTCATGTTTACAAGTCATTATATGCCAGCTTCAAATCAAATCAATCGTATCTTTATCCACCCCATTCTCAAATGCTTATACTGTAGTTTGGAAAGTATTCTTTAAGTCAGTGGTTCTCAACCTTTTCTTCACTATGGGCCCCCTTTAAATATCTTTTGTGGCCATAGACCTCCAAGACTTAGCTCAACATTTAAATCATAATACTTCTTCAAGACTTTGCAGACCCCCTGTGATGACATTGCCCCCCCATGGGTCCATGGACCACAGGTTGAGAATCACTGTTTTAAGTGAATGCAATGGTTTCAGATAGACAATAGTCTATAAGAGAGGAACAGTGGCCTTTTTCCTTCACTGCTAATTTAGATTTTATGGCAGGTTTGTTTTTGTGCATCTTACAACATCTACAGTTGTAGCTTACTTGGTTTTTTTCAAAGCCAGTATCCAGATCAAGATCAAACAAGCGGCAATTGATAAAAAAACCACAACGATCCAAACAACTATATCCTTTAGGCTGATATCTGAGAGAGAAAACAAGCTGGTTTAAATTACATGCAGTTGCATATATCTTCATTATTTTTTTTTAGAGAAGGAATTTTATTTGCATAGTTTTATTAAATCTCCACAATAAGTTTGTGAAGCTAAATTATAGTGCCTGAATGAGTCAAGAATATCAAGTTGACTGAACCAAGCAATGCCAACAAATCTAGAGAACATCACAGTGGCCAACTACAGTGGCCTGTAAAGATCAATCTATCTTGAAATATAAATGAATGAATGAATGAATGAATGAATGAATGAATGAATGAATGAAGAGACTTAACAGTGTGTGCAAATTGACTTCCAGTCTTGCGCAGTAGCGTAGCAGCCAAGGGATTTGGGGGCTCTGTGCCCTTTGGCTGAATTTCTTCCTGTTAGGGGACCCTAAATGGGCCAGAAGCCATCCCGAAGAGGCAGCAAAGAAGGAAGGAAGTCCCGTGGACCACGGAGAGATGGTGGTCGACCCGATCGGTCCAGGAGAAGCCTTTCAGAAACCAACAGGAGAAAGGCTAGCCTAACTTCAGAGTCTAGCCCAAGCTACAATCAACCGAAGTCAAAAAGCACTATTTTAAGCTGATTGTAAATAGCGCGTTTGAATCTGGATAAGATCATCGATTTTCTCTATCCTACTTATTAACTTTCCTGGAAAAAAAATTTCCCAAGAAGCAAAAAACCTTCGAACATGAAGGAGGGGGATTTTTGCCCCACCCTTTTATTAATGGAAGCGGTGAATTAAACCTTTTTTGGAGGACCAAAACATACAGAAATGAAATTAATATAAAACCTAAATTTGGATAAGTTTGGAATTGTTGAATGGTTAAGATTCTCATTTTAAAGGCAATTTTCTGTTTTGATAATTTGAAAAATAAACTGGTATTGACATCTAGTGGTAGATAAAGACTATGACAGCTATGGCTTTTATACAGGACTTGGCAAAATCTGGAAAAAACTAATCTGTGGTTGTGACCTTCAATCTATAACAATAGAGAACAGCTGTGACAAAAAAGAAAACAATTTGGGTTGCAGACAAAGAGAGGATTATAAATTTCAGGAAACCTTTTTGAACCTTTTTGGATTATAAATATCTATTAAACTGTGACTCTAAAGCTATTTGCAGAGAAAAGAAAACCTTGATTCTTGACCACTATGGAAAATCAGAGACTTGAAGAAAGAACTTATCAAGAAAAAATAAATACCCTTTAAGAGGAGACATATGAGATGCTGCAATTAATTCAGACAATAATGATTTCAAACCACAAAGAAATCCAAAATAATTTTGAAAACATAAACCAATTCATCTCCAATTTAACTTTACAACAAAAAAAATCCCAGGAAATTACAATAGAGAAGGAGCAGATGAAACAGATAACTGAACACAAATTCGAGGATAGAGACTCGAAGATGGAACTTAACACAACAAAGAAATATGATTTAACCCAAGTGGAAAAAATTTACAAGAAATATTGGTTTTGGAAAAGGCAACTTATACTTTAAGACCACAAGACAAATTTGAGGATAAGAAAAAAGACTGGTCAAATGGATTGCAGAGACGTCAGGAACACCACTAGAACTGGAGAGACAAAAAATGATAAGAGATACAGAGAGAAAAAGAAAGAAAAAGATTTTGAACAAACATGAAAGAGCAAATGCCTCTTACAAAGATATTGTACTTGACTTATTTTTTATATCTACAGTGACACCTACAAGAATATAGAAAGACTCTTTGACTCAGCAGAATATATTGATTAAAGATATTGGGCAAAAGAAGAAGGCCAAAGTGAAAATTAAGAAAATAGATGATGGGACTTATCAGAGAGAATATTTAAAAAAGAAACACCTGTTTGAATATGATTAAAGTAATAGAAAGATTTTGGATATGAATTTTGCTTTAAGAGGAAGGAATCCCTCAAATAACATAGTACTCTCTCTTTCTTCTCTTTTCTTCTCTTATTTCTTGATATGAGTCATATAAAAGAGTTAGAGTGGCTTATATATAAGGACATATTTTAGATATTTAAATGTGATTGATTTTAAGAAAATTACAATGAATTGAAAAAAAAATGTTTTGAATAAGAGTTAAAAGACCAAATGACTAGATTTATTAAATGGAATATTTAAAGATTAAATATATTCTTAATTATGGTAAAAAAAATGGAAAAACTTTGAAATAAATATGTATTAGCTTAGGGGAAACATGGACTTTCAGTAGTATACTATCTTTTTATCCCTCTTTACTCTTGTTCTTTTTCTCTCTCTTTTTTTAGAGTTATTTATTCCTTAAGTAAAGTAAAAGTTATGGGATGGTTTACATGAGAAAAATAGAATCAAATATCTAAATGTAATTAACTTTGAGAAAATCTTAACCAGTAAGAATATCTTGAATATTGTGGGAAAAACAAATGTAAACAAGAACTGTAAACAGGATCTATGATGAGGCAACCAGAATGACTAGATAGAAAAGAAATATTATATTGATGTGATTATTATTTGCAGAAATATTAGAAAAAAAATTCATATTCAATTGTTATCTATCAAAACAATAAGAATTGTATTAACTTAAGGTTGGTAAAAAAGAACATTATGGGAAGAAGAGGAAATCAAGTAAAGCTATTATGTGGATTATAGATCATAGAAACCAATTGTTAGCGAATGTTTTTTAAATGTAAACCTAGACAACACACTGTTTACTGAATATTAAGGTGACCATGTTAAAAAATTAATAAAATATATTATAAAAAAAACAGTGTGTGCAAATTGCTTTACAATAACCTTTATTTCACTTGCTAGCAAAAGATATGCAAATGTTCAAGATGACTTTAGAAAGGTTGAGGAATAGAAAATATAACTGCCAATATATGATAAAGCCAAATATCAAAAAGGAAGTCAGAATGTGCTTCATTAATTATACAAAGACTTTTGATTGTGTTGATCCTTCTGAAGCTATGGAAAGTTCTTGGAAAATGAGAATTTCAGAACATCTCATTGCCCTCACTGAGAAACTTATATAAAGGTCAGGAAGTCAGAATACAGACTGAACATGGTTAGACAGATTGGCTCCAGGTGGGCAAAAGCATGAGAAAAGGTTGTATACTCTGCCCTCGTTTATTCAACCTATTTGCTGAAGAGAGGAAGAAAAGACACCCAAGGAACTCCACCCATTCCTGTCCTCAGTATGCCCTCTGAACAAGAAACAAGGATGCCACCATACCCATGGCATTATAGAGAACGGCACTTTTTTATGGTAATATAGTTTTCTGCTAGCTCAAGAAGTGGACGATGGTATTTAATTTTGCTGTGGGGAAAAGCCTTAAGCTAAACTGAACTTGTTCTTGGCTTCATAAGCCTAATGCCAATACAAGGCCAGGCAAAGGTTTACCTCACCTTTTTGGAGTTTAATATAACTTTTAGGGCTCCAGTTGCTCCAGATACCATGATCTGACCTGCATCGAACCTGGGCAACATATCTTTCTCCTGGATTCACACTGAACATCTTATAAGACGTCCTTTGCCCAACAAATATTTTCTGGAAATATAAGAATATACATGAAAGAGCTTCTATATAAAACATAGAAAAAGCTTCTTTTGTTAAAAAAAAAAATGCAACAACAAAGTACAAGTAGCCCTGGTTTAATGAGCACAATTGGGACTGGCAACTAGGCTGTTAAACGAAGTGGTCACTAAGTGAAACGCCAACTGTGCTAAAGCTGTTTACTTCAGCTTTCCTTCCCTTTACAGACCTGCAAATGCGAGGTCAAAAAGTTACTTTTTCATCAGCCGTGTAACTGCAAATGGTAGCTAAACAAGGCAGTTGCTAAGTATGGTCTGCTTGTATGTTAGTTATTTTGACAAGCAAAATTAATGGAGAAGCTAGCAGGAGGTCGCAAACAGTGACCCTGTGAACTTGCACTTAATAATGGCATGGAGTCTGCTTAATGATGGAAACTGGAAGTGTCAAAATGTCTGTCACTAACCTGTGTGGTCATGTGGTATTGTGCTTTATCTCTTAGCTATAGAAATTCTGGCTCCAATTACTATTGTTTGTTTGCTGCCCATCTCACCACAATGATTAAGTAAGGACTATCTTTATTGTATGAATGGACTAGAGAAGTGCACAGTAAAAATACTCGTACACATGTATCGGAGCGTACTATTTTAGGATATACTATGAACTGCAGCAATTATTTGCATTACATATACAAGCATATTGATAAATAAGGAAGTATTTTAAATGCTTGCTCAATCCCAAAGTTCTGAAGACACACTGTTTTTATGGTTTATTATTCAATATATAGCGTGAAGTATGGCAATTATTAGTTGTTATATTGACCGTGGTTTTTTGTGACCTAAAAGCATGCAGAATGTTTGGCCACCAAGAATGAAAACACTTACTTCCCACTCTTGTCCTTCTTCAGGCTTTATGTGTAATTCATACTCCAGAGTTAGCCAGCCAGATTTGACATCACCCAGAGAAGGCGGATTCCAAGTCATCAACACATATTGTCCATATACTTTTTTCTCAAATTCTAGGGAAAGATTTTCTGGAGGATCTGGCTGAACTGAAAAAAATGAAGGATCAGGGATTTACAATCCATGGATGAAAATGGAGGCATGCCTTGAACATTAAGACTTGAGCTTCCCTCTCTTCTATCCTATTGTGATAGAACATACAGGGAGCTTTTCTGGCTACTTGTATATTAACTTCTTAAAAAGAGAGAAAGAAATGCTTCTTGTTGTCTTATTGTCTCCTTTCACTCTTCCTGCTAGAGAAAGAAGTCTCCCATGGCTAATGACCAGCTTTCATTTAAAGAATCAGCAGATGCAAGATGACAGTGTCCATCAAGATGCAGCAAAAGGAACTGCTTTCTGATCACTTTCTCTTTCCCCAAGCGAGGGACTTCACTTCTCTGTCACTTTTTGTTGCTGATGCAACTCAGCTCCAGTTGAATAATGGGTTCCCCAAAAGGAAGAAGTGAGAGGATAAAGAAATGCCAGCAATGCATTGATGAGCCAGGATGATGTGGTTGGTTGCAAGTCCAGGCAGAGAATCTACTGCCTGCACAATGTGACTCGCCAGTGTGGATGTTGTCTTAACATCACTTAATGTCTATGGAGATTCTCACTCATCCGGGTCATGGTTGTCCCAAAGGTGCTTTTTCTTTTTTTTTACCAATTTTATTTATAATACAATTAAAAGAAACATTGGATATAACATGACATTCCAGTATATACATTCTTATCAAATTATTTCACATTGTACAATCGGTTCTTCCTCTCTGAATATACATCTAAATTTTATATACAATACTTAATCTATTTCTCTATTTGCTAACCTAAAATTACATATATTTCTATCTTAACACTAGCCTATGATCCCAACCGTCCTCCTCGAATCCCTCTAGCAGTAAAATTTATCCCAGGTTTCGAAATAAACTGATCTACATTTGTCTTTCAATACCATTGTGAGCTTGTCCATTTCCGCACATGATAATATTTTATATAGTCTCTCTTCCTCTGTGGGAATTTCTTTGCTCTTCCATTTTTGCGCGAACGTTAGCCTAGCTGCAGTCAAGATATGTAACAGCAAATAGATTATTCCCTTATTGTATTTCTCTGTAGTTATTCCCAACAGGAAAAGTTCAGGTTTTAACTCTAAGTCCAACATTAATATATCTTTCAGCCATCTTCGTATCCTGTTCCAATACTCACAAGCCTTTGAGCATTCCCACCACATATGATAATATGATCCTATTCTCATCCAAGAAGCAAAATGTCTTTAAGGAAAAACAAAGAAAGTCCAGTTGCCTTTTAAAAAAGCACCATTGGGACTTAACATCACTTATTTTAATCGATTAGATGCTTTAACAAAGCTACCATTGGCTGACTGCCATTTGTAGATGATGGTTGATATGACAATGTGGGTGGATTCTCAGGCTCTTTTGAACATTCTGCCATCTTTCCCATTCAGAAGAATTTGTACTTCATACCTATATTTGCTACATCCACGTAATAAGGGTCTGCCACACTACTCCCCATCTCATTCATCGCGTTTAAAGTAAAATTATAGGTAGTCCACAGCGATGTGTGCTTTTTATTAAAGTAACAGGAGTTGGGCCCCGCTGTTGTGTAGTCCGGGCATTCGTAGTATTTTTTATCTCTGAAAAACACAAATAGAAAAAAAGGGAATCACATCAATCAGACTGCTGAGCTTATTGGCATTGTTTACCAAATTAGTAAATTGTCCTATGGGGAAAACTAAGAGCCAACTTTTCTAGAGATGCAAAATTATGTAATAATCCATTTAGAGCAAGGGTGGAGAACGATGACCCTTTTATGACTTGTGGACTTCAACTCCCAGAATTCCTGAGTCAGCCATAAAGTCAGTCATAAAGGAGCCACAGTTCCCCACCTCCAATTTAGAAGATGATTTATAATTTTTACCTTTCTCTCTTGTAGAGCAGTGTATAATTTCTTGGGAGACTTCCTTCAGAGCTTGGCTTCCACCAGCAAGTAAAGGTTTCTTTTTCGGGAGACCGACATCCTGTGAAGATTGGCTTCCCTGGAGGCTGGCCTGTAAAAAAAAAGGGCCCATGTGCATCATATAGTTAGCCCTTGACTTACAACCATTCAATTAGCGGTCATTCAAAGGAACAACAGCACTGAAAAAAGTGACTTATGACCAACCCTCCCACTTATAACCATTGCAGCATTCCTACAGTAATGTGATCAGAATTTGGGCCCTTGGCAAGTGGTATGTACTTATGATAGTTGCAGAACCCAGGATCATGTGATCACCATTTGTGAGCTTCCCAATCAGCTCCTGACAAACAAAGTCAATGGAAGAAGCCAGATTTGCTCAAATGCCATGTGATTCATTTAACAAGAGCAGTGATTCTCTCAACAACTGTGGCAAAAGGGTTGTAAAATTGAATACAACTCACTTAACAACCATCTTGCTTGGCAATGGAAATTCTGAGACCAATTGTAGTCATAAGCTGAAGACTATCCTGCATTAACACCAGAGTAATGATGCCTTGGGAATATGCAAGTCTTCTAACCTATTCTACCTTCTTGTGAAGATCAATGAAGTTTAAGGACAAGGACACACCCTTGTATATGAAAAATTTAAGCTACTGGGCAGTTTAAAAAATTACAAGTAGTCCTCAACTTACAAGTTTGTTTAGTGACTGTTTGAAGTTACAATTGCACTAAAAAAAGTGATCATTTTTCACAGTTATGGCCATTGTAGCATCCTCATGGTCACCTTTGGATACTTGACAGCTGACTCACGTTTATGATGGTTGCAATGTCCCAGAGTCATGTGATCTCCTTTTGAGACCTTCTGACAAGCAAAGTCAATGGGAAAACCAGATTCACTTAACAACCGTGTGACTAATTTAACAACTGCAGCGATTCTCTTAACAAACGTGGCAAGAAATGTCATAAAATGGGACAAAACTCACTTAATAAATTTTTCATTTAACAACATAAATTTTGGGCTCAATTGTAGTGGTAAGTTGAGGATTACCTGTAGTTATTGGTGACTCTTTGATAATTTACCCAGAAAAGATTAATGTAAAGTATAAATTTTGCTCCTTTGCAGTTTTCAAAAACTACTTTAGTTATAATTTCTATCTTACTGCCAGGCACTCCAACTATCTTGCCCGTTAGATTCTTGCTATTTGATGGGCTCTCAGTTTTACTTCTAACAATACGTTTTTCATTTTTGTCTGCTCCTGCCTTGTTATCAAGTTAGATTCATTTATCAGTTTGCTTTCTTCTATGTTTTCTTTCTTCATTTGAGCAAGACTTCATTTGCATGTTAACTATGACAATATAATGTTGAATTTGTTGGTTCTTTTTAAAAACTGTGGAATAACTTTTATTGGAATCTCTGTTGGAATCACTTTAAAATAAGCCTCACACCTCTTTTGAGTCTCCTTTTTAAGACAATAAACACATGTCTTGAATCCCTAGAGATTTGGATATAACATAGCTGTGATGTTTGGAAAATATGTTACAGAAAAGCTGCCAGCAAATTCATCCCTCCTGCTTATATGAGAACTATTTGATTTATACCTCCGAGACCGCCTTCTGCCACAGATTCCCTCCCATAGACCGGTACGCTCCCACAGAGTGGGTCTCCTCAGGGTGCCGTCGGCCAAGCAATGTCGGCTGGCGACCCCCAGGGGGAGGGCCTTCTCTGTGGGTGCCCCTGCCCTCTGGAACGAACTACCCCCCGAGATCCGGATTATTCCGGATCTCCTTACTTTCCNCTTACTTTCCGCCGCGCCCTCAAGACATGGCTTTTCCAACAAGCGGGCCTGGCCTAGGGAGGATTTTTAAACTGGGTTTTTTAGAAATTTTAATTATCACAACACAAAATTTTGGTTTTAATTTGGTTTTATTCGGTGGGGTGTGTGGGTCTTTCTTTGTTTTAATAATGTTGTGAGCCGCCCTGAGTCCTTCGGGAGACATTTCACTTCTCATCCAAGGAGCTTCTTCAATTCTGAAGAACTGAACTGAACAGAACTGAAGAAGCTTCAAGGAAAACCAAAGAAAGTCCAGTTGCCTTTTGAAAAAGTACCTTCGGGACAGCAGTGTATATGCGTACAATATAGAAATCTATTCTTAAATATTCTGTGATTTTTCAGCTCTATGTTTTTGTCAAATGTTTGATTTTCCAAGACAAAAAGTTTCAAGAGACTGACTCACCATTATGGAAGTGGATGTATCTTTCTGGGCTCCACAAGCTCCTTTCACCACGATCTGTTACACAGCGAACCTGAGCAGTATATTTCATTCCTGGATGCAAGTGAGATATTTTATATTGCAACTGCTGTCCCACAAAGTAATCCTGCAAAGGGACAAAGGTAATGGAAACTGAAAAATGTGGCATTTCCAAGTTGCAACCCAAATCATATCAGTACATCAAATATATAGGTGATTTGAACCTGTGTTATCTAGTCTAGGTTGACCTTCAAATGGATTGGATTATAAATCTGATCATCTCCTTCTAGCATGGCCAATAACCTTATTATCTGGCAGTGTGTACAGTTTCATGGAAAAAACAACATTGGGAAGAGATTGTCTATAGCTTTAAATATTCTAATCTTTTAGATCAGAGTAAACAAATAAATGTATAAAGTATTTCCAGATATTTCCAGATATAAAATATTTCCAGATATAAAATATTTTCAGATACTGTCAGCCAGATAATCCTATGGTTTATGCAATTGCTTCTAAGCCTCTTTGTTTTGGCCATTCCAGGCGTTTTCCTAAGAAAAAAGGCTCATAACAAGAATCATATAATCAATTGCCGGTTTTGTTTGGTTTGATGCCACCAGTGACACAGACCCACTTTGAATCACTCCTGCCCTCTCATATCATAAATAAATACTCAAGATAAAACATTTCCAATACAGTCATAGTTAAAATATATATTTTTATGATTGTAACAGTCGTGGTTTGTGTGTGTGTGTGTGTGTGTGTGAGTAACACTCATAGTTAAATATATATTTTAATAACAACAAAATCAATTAAAATCAAGACGCTTATAATATTACCCAGCAATGCAAGCTAGTAAAATAATTTAACCCCAAAATGAAAACAATGGAAACAGACTTTAAAACTGGATTCAAGAATAAAGAGGCAAGCAATGTAACTAGCAGAAAGCATGAGTGCGATATTTTGAAACTTGGTTACAGTGGGCCAACTTCTCTCTTGTAAAGATGATGTTGGGGAGGAAAATCTTGAGATTGGTGTGGCAAGAGTTGGTACATCCCAAAGACTTTCTGCCTAACTGATTTGTTCTAACTAATGAAGCTGGTTGGATGAGCACCAAAACGTCTCAAACTAACAAAAAAATTAGTCCAGGCGCCATGATCCAACCTTCAGATACTCTTGCAAAGACATTCCTGTGTTTGCAAGTGTTAGGCAGGAGAAAATCCAATGCCGACTCTTTTCTGAGGACCACCCAATATGATTTCTGGGATAAATCTTTGTATCCATCTCACAGCTCACACTGAATAATTGCTTTTTTTGTTCCAGAAAAAAACGTTTCTTAATTTAATGCGCCTTCTGGTATTTTAATTGGAGAAACGTCTATTTACTTGGAATTCTCAGACACATTTTTCATTTGTTTATTCTTCATCTAAGGGACTTGCTTCTTTATTGCTAGCATGATAATACCACAAGAGTTGTTCACTCACTTAAAATGGCTGCTCCATGAAAACCTTTACGTAAAAGATAATGAAGATGCTGGCCTCACATTCTATAGGCCTTCCTGAAGTGAAATATATTCACTCATACAATATGTTTTCTGTAGCCCTTTTTCATTTTGCTTAAGCATCAACCTACGCTTAGGAAATCTGCTTATATGTAGGGTGCTCACTGAGCAGGTAGATTCTACCTATAGTAATCTTACATTGGTTACTATCTATTGGAGCTTTTTAAACAAGACAAGAATTGGAATTTTCTAAAAAAAAAAGCGCTCCTTGGGCTCGGCTGCTATCTATAGCTATTTTTGACAAAGGGTGCCGGAGTGATAGTGAGTGACTGCAGTCTTAGGACTCCATATAGCCTTGAGTTAAACTTATATAGCCCTTAATCTAATTGCATTAGCCTTCAGAAACAGATCATTTCACAAGCCAAAGACCAATATACTCTTCTGAACCTTACAAACAAATATTGGAAGAGAATATCTGTAGCTCTGCGTTGAACTGTGGACTCCTTGGTGCTCTCTAAGCTTGGTTGTTTGCTTGCAGACATTTCATTGCCACACTGAGTAATGTCCTCAGTGTTAGACGAGAGTGGGATTTGTTCTCTTATCTATATACAGTAGCTTGCCCTGTCAACATTGGTGCTGACAATTTGCTTTCTCCTTGATAGTTCCTTGATTAGGCTTCGGATCAGATACTGCACACAGTACCGGACAATACTGTGCTTTATTCCTGAGGCACGATCCCTCTCCAGCTGCATCATGCTCTGGAAATGAATGAAATCCATGTTTCACTGAGAAGAGTTAGGCCACACTAAAGACTATTAGTCCTCAGATGTCAGTGATGGAGGTCAGTTCCTGGAAGGCTGTCTGACAGTAAGCCAGATGATTTGTCCACCTAGCCAATATTGCTGGTCTGTTGATTAGTGTTGGGCCATAAGAGAGGCTGAGTGCAAAAGAATTGAGGCCTTTGAACTATGGTGCTGGAGAAGACTCCTGCGAGTCCCCTGGACGGCAAGGCGATCAAACCGGCCAGTCCTAGAGGAGATCAACCCTGACTGCTCTTTAGAAGGCCAGATCCTGAAGTTGAAACTCAAGTACTTTGGCCACCTAATGAGAAGGAAGGACTCACTGGAGAAGAACCTAATGCTGGGAAAGATTGAGGGCAATAGAAGAAGGTAACCACAGGGAATGAGATGGCTGGATGGAGTCACTGAAGCAGTAGGCGTGAGCTTAAATGGACTCCAGAAGATGGTAGAGGACAGGAAGGCCTGGAGGAACGTTGTCCATGGGGTCGCGATGGGTCAGACACGACTTCGCAACTAACAACAGCAACATTGACTAGTGTGCTTTCTAAAGTTTCAGGTGATGCATTCTGTTCCCTGATTCCATTACTTTGAGAAGCTGGACTCTGAGCTCAGGCCTTCCGCAAGCCAATGATATATTCTGCCTTGCCCTGCAGCCCGGTCCTTCCTACCTACCTAATTTTTCTTGTATACAGTGTTCGAATGTAAAGACATGTAAAGAATCAAGCTCTACTTTGTGGTTTAAGCACAATCTCTGAATTGGGGAAGTTTATTTATTTATTAAATTTATAAGGACAGCTGACCTTTGTTTTTCTTTTTTCTTTGCTAACTTCACTAGCAAAGCTACGCAAGTTTCTTACCTTCCATTCTTTTCCTTCTGCAGACTTCAGTCGCAATTCATAATTACATAGTGCTGAATCACTGATCCGTGGAGGTGCTGACCACTTTGTCCACACATACATTATTCCATTTACCATTTTGACTTCCAAAGAGAGATTCATGGGCGGGGTTGGCCTAACTATGCAAAAGAAAATTCACATGTGAGTATTTTTACTGCTCTTGTCGAGAATTCCTCCTTTTACGTTTCTCCATGTCAGCTTTTCTCCATGTCTGGGAATTAAGTCCAATCTGGAAGACACCCGGCTCCAATAGTTTCAAAACAAAAGATGTAAGGTACATAATGAGAAAGACTAGTAGTTTAGCTAAGCCAGTATTATCCATCTTTGCAGCATTTCATCTTGAGAATCTGGTTACCTGACAACTCTTTTAACTATGATATCAAGATTCAAATCGGGATCTTAAAACCCATGAAACTTATGCTTTCAACTGAGCCATCGATCTTGTGAATGAGATCATCTCAGCCTGATATTATTTTTCTTCTTGACTTTCAACAGAACTGATGACCAGTACTGCTGGCCTCCTCTATCTACATTGAGATTAGTTTTGAGAAAATCATAATGTTGAAATATTATGCCATCTTCTCTCTTTCTAATTATAGAGCAAAATAAAAGATTGAGTTTCATTTGGCTTCTGCTCTTACCCATTTCTTTTACGTCCACATAATGGGGATGAGATAAATTACTTCCTGCATCATTGGTAGCTTTTACACTGATATTGTATGTTTGC